AGACTATGGCGCACGTCCACCAAAAATCGCTTCCAAGTCATTGATAAGATATTATGCAATTCTCCTTTCTCGGAGGGTTTCAGGATGTTGGGCAGCCGTGCGAATGGTCGAGTGGTTTGACGAGACATCGAGCACCCGAGTTTATACTATGTTGGAATTTGGTTCAAAAAGACGGGGTCCGCCGAACGTGAAGAACACTTCGCTCATCTTTGCTGACGTGGCATCACTACGGCTGTCGACGCTGCTCCCTTCTCCCGTCATGCAGCCCCTACGCCAATCTGCGGAATGTCTACAAGGATGCAGTTGGCAACCAGATTGTCAGCATGAAGAAGTCAGACTTGTAGTCAGAGCTTGCGCAGCGGGCAAGTCTGATTTGGAGTAACCTACATGGACCGCACCACGTGCTGAGCATCGCCAGCCCGGCGATACTCCGGATCCGCTTTGGCCCAAACAGCAACCGGGCTGACACACTCTTCCTGTACAGCGCTGGGAGGTAGGCTCATTCGCAACGGGGTTGCTCTGAAAGTTACCACTTTTGATAGCTGGTCTCCTTTATGAGCCATATAGAAGATTGGATCCTGTAGCTGGAGTCTGCATTTGGAATCACTTTGGCTGTTTGGCTGCCTAGCATGTGCACGTTGGTCAAAGGTTTAATAAGAACGTTGAGACGTCCTTAGGGAGTTTTTCTAGGGGTTTGTAAGCAAGCCTGAGACACACACCATTCATTTCCGAGCGATGCATTTCTCAACAATTTTTCCGCTGGCCGACTTTTGATGTATTTCCTCCTCTCTTTTGTGTTGCAGCGACATGAATTTCGACGTGGAGATCGTGCCGGAAGTCCGGGCAGGCTCAGTCCGTGAAGAAGTCATTCGGATTTTAGAGAGCCCACTCACAGAGTAGGTCAAAGTGCCGCCCGATCTGAAACATTGTAACAAAGTTATTCGCTCTTCACTACGGCTCAGTGCGAAGTACAGTCGGGGACATTCACTTACCAAGAGGTATCGCTCACTTAGGCTCGTGCATGAGATGTTGGAACTGGAACGCATAATGAATGCGCGGAACCTTTGGAGGGCTTCCAACGAGGTATCGTTGTCAGCGTGGCGCCGGCAGTGGTTATCGAATTTAGATGCAGCGTGCAAAGATTTGTCCAGCAGAGCATGCCTCTGCAATTCCATCTTCCTTATTGTTGCCCACGTATACCCATAGCGAGAGCGCAGAATAGTGCACGAGTCGTCCAAAGTGATATGCAGTGCAAAAGCCTAGGGCGCGCGTGCGGCCGCCCAATGACGCTTGCGCGGCCCGCATAGGCATGATGATGTATGAGTACGCGGCGGTGACAAGTTATGGCCCCCTTCAAACGCGCCGGCAGCAAGCCAACTGTCAAAGCGGTAAACTGCTGTCGTTGATCCTAAGATAGGAATGCTACCTAAGATCAGGACTTCCGGATCCTAATCTCCATATCCCCGCTCCCTTCGGTGACGGCGGCGTTAGTACTCAGTCACTCTGTGGCACGCGCCCGGTGACTCGGAAGCGCAGCGCAGGCCGGTGGCCCAGGCACACTAATGAGTGACTGACTTAGACCCGGCTCAGCTATAAGCTAAAAGGCTTACTAATTTACCGACGGCCCTTGAGTTGGCAGGCTATTCGTTGACCTTAACGACATCGACGATAATTGTTATTGTTACTTAGCTAGGTCATTGAATGCATGGGACATGAGCCTGAGTAGATAAACTTCAAGGGGTACTCTAGCTCAAAGATCATTCAATCCGCCTGTGATAAGTAGCTCTTAAGAAGCTCGTGCTGTGATCGTAGTGGTGGTTTTCTTGTGCAGTCATGTTTGAGGTGCAGCGCCGGCCAGACTTGCCGCGCACCGGGCAGGCGCGATTGGACTCAATTGCATTGGATGCATTACTAAGTTTTGCATCACGCGCATTGCATATTCTCGTGATGAAATTGCGGCGGCCATGCAATGCATGAACACCGATTGCAAGATACTCGATCGTGTACATCGCTTCGCATGCATGGCGCGGCTCACTAGTCCCGTTAGTATACATGTATGCATGCCACGGTCAATGCAGCGAGCCTGGCTCGAGGGTTCATCCCATCCATACATGTAGATGTTGTCGGAGGTGCGGACTGCTACGATCCATGCATGAGCGGCGCAAAAGAGTGTACTGATAGGCCGCCCCTTGATGAGTCACTGTCGCTTTGAGAATCGACGCAAACAGCCGTCATTGCATAAAAACCAGGCCTCCTAAAGTTACATATTGTGGACAATTGTAATCGCGCCATCCGCTCTAGTCTGGCATGCAACATGGCATCATTGGCGATGCATAATCGCCATCGTGTTAGGCCGACCTAACCACACGTCATTAGAAATTGATACTCAAACCTCCTGCGTTCAAATACGTATACGTGGAAGGATTTTTCTTGCTGGATGCATCCTCGATGCCGACCAGTGTGACAGATAGTGTGACAAATTAATCTATCCTGGTCTTGTCCTGATCTTGTCTGAGCAATGCATGGGCCCGATGTACTGCTCCAGCGACCTTGGAAAAACCTCGTAGATCAGAGTCAACGGTCTTCCGTCATGGTAGAAAACACACTGCCGGCTCCAAAATGGCCCACTGAACTCCGAAGCCTTTGCAAAAGATGCCTTGTGTCAACGTGACTTACGAGCGAGAGAGACACCCCAGCAAAAAGTTTGGAAAGATCATATCCACGTTCCAAGACAACGCGCGGAAGAGGTTCGCTATTCCGGATGGTCATCCGAAAATGTGATTGACAGAATAAAACGCCGTTTTCCAGCTGCCGCAATTGCACACCTCCGCAGCACGGGTGCGTGCGACGACCCCAGAGCTCTATCCTAGCCGTCGCTGTTTCGGTGGTTCATGCAAGTGGGGGGATTCTTGAGCTGGTCGAGCGACAATGTCATCGAGTTCTTCCAGGAGTTTCTGAATAAAGATCAGGACAAACTTGGGGAGCTCAGGCTCAAAGGCGCGCTTTCGAGGCGCATCTGCGCCGAGGCAATCCAGGATTGCAAGACACTAACCTCCCTGGCGCCGGCGCTTGGCGCAGTCGGCGGTTGAGTTGGTTGTACCGTGGAGCAGGCCATCACCTCTGAGCCCCAAACCGGGTTCGATTGCTGAAGGAGAAAGGAGCGCACGAAAGTCAAGAAGCAACCTATCGAAATCTTACATATACAAACACTCAATGCAAACTGACAATTTATGTTTATTTATGCTTTTCGAATGGAGTCCTAAAATGACCGGCATGGCTTTTGGGCGGGCTGACTGATGGTCGGCTGGGCCCTTGTCCAAACTGTCCAAGCTCTTGGCAGACTTTTTCAAAACGGAGTCGTGATGACGTCAGCAATCGTCCATGCCGGATAGAATGCGCGTGTAGTCGACAGCACGGACCCTTCCCTTGTCCAAACTGTCCGAGCTCTGAGAAATTTTCTCTGGAGTCCATTCTTGATGACGTCATCAAGCAAAACGGACATACTCAAAAGTCCACACGAGAAAAAGACGCCATCTCCAGCACTTTTTGGCGTGGGCAGCAGCGCGGGAAAGAGCGGACGAACATGGGACGCATCTAAGTTGGAGTTCCTTACCGCGAGGACTGCGGAACGGATGGAATCGCCAGGTTCTGCGCCTAGCTTGGAGGCGGAGGCCTCGGGAGCTGCGGCCGCCTCTGCAGGGGGGGCAAGGGGGGCGGCGCTGTCACCCTCTCCCGCGGCCGTGGTGGAGGCTGGGGGGGATGCGCCTTGCGAAGAGGCGAGAGTGAGAAAGAGACGTCAGACGCGACTGTCGGAAGCGAAAGGCGACCATATGTCCCTCCCCTTGTCCAAACTGTCCGAGCTCTGGGCAAACTTTTCTAAAGTCCATTCTTGATGACGTCATCAAGCAAAACGGACATACTCAAAGCCCGCAAGTCAGCGCTTTTTGGTGCGGGGAGCGGCACGGCGCGGGAAAGCGGACGACCTCAACGGCCTGCCAGCCTTCGAAGGGACGGACATTTACGCATCTAGGTTGGAGTAAAGCGAAAGGCGACGATGTATTGCCAGAGCACTTTAGTGAGTTCCCCCACATATTCTCGAACCTCTAATGAAGATGGATGTGGAATACATCATGAAGAAAAAGAACACTTTCAAGAGGTTGTAAATGAGTTTGTACACAAACTTTACCACCGCTTCTACGAATCCACCACTTTCTAAACAATTAGAACTCAAAAGTACTGGCCTTATGTGCGACCCGATTGGTTACACCTCAGCAATTCCCTAAAAGGAGGTGATCTGTACATCTCGTGTGCACTCTACTCGACTTGAAGCAAGTGAAGTCTTTTGAGGGGGGGAGGGGGCCCGAACGACACTCATCGATCGTATTCGCACTTCCGGAGATTGATGGAGACTCACCCGCCCGCCCATTGGCGGTGGTGGCCACACGATCATGCACTTATCGGTGAACTCGTCCCTGAGGCGTGGGTCCAACTCGGCCGGGTCGACGAGGTCGGGCCAGCCGTCGCCGACAGAGTCGAACCAGCCGTCGTCGTGCTCCGACGACGAGCGGGCGGCGTCCCTACTGTTCACCTCGGCCTCCATGTCGGCCGAAGGGGGGGCCCCGTCCGAGGAAGAGTCGCATGCGAAGCTAGAAAAGGGGTACGGCGCCGGCCCCAATTGCTGACGAGACAACGCGATATCAACGCTGGACATTCAGATATTCACAGTGCCAAGCAGATTCCCTCTCCGAGCTACTCTGATGATGGGCGGCAAGAAGCTGCTGTCGGGCAAGTACCGCATCACTTGAATCTGGACTTTTGAATAGACTATCGAGCGGAAATTGGCGGGTCCATTCTGGCAACGACCCACTGAAGTAAAAGAGCTCACCTCCATCCCCGAAACCTCCATATTTGAATCTCCTCCTCCACTCTCCGCAGGGGTCGGGCGCAGCTGCGACAGAGAAGGGCCTGAGCTTGAGGCAGAATCCGCACTGCCCGGCAAATCGTCTGATGAGGGCCCCGGGTTGCTTTCGACGCAGCCAATCATCAAGAGAGTCGCTGCAGATGTTGAAAAAGAGGACCGTCAGAGGATAGTGCGATGCTCAACTCAATAGCGGCTTCGAAAATGGGACGGAAAAAACTTTCACTGCAGTCGGGAAAAGAGCAAACACAGCTGAAGGCAGGGGAATGCACGACGCTTGAATCAGTCACTTACCAAGGAGCGCACGGCTCATGGGTTCCGTGGAGGAACCCATGAGCCCTTTGAAGGTCCGCTTGTCGAAACCTACAGAAGGCAATGACCGCCGCGAGTCATATGCCAAACCCTCGCCGAAGAAGATGGCCAGCATGGGGTGGCTGCGCAGGGCCAAACTGCTGTAGAAGCGATTCACAATGCTATCCAAGCAACAACGATGCAGGAAGTTGGTCGAAAGTCACGTACAGCCTTCAAATAGGACTTGATGTCATGAGATACGGGTCAAGTCGGAGCTTTACTGCTCAAATAAGGCCCCGAGGATTGCAGTTCCGAGATCACCCCACCTGGCAGAGCAAGCGTGTGCCTCTGGCGATTCTGCGTGAGAGCTGGCCTCGTCCATCTTCCGCAGCTCCTCTTCCCATGCTTCTAGACGGCGCTGCATTCGATCCTCGACCCAAACTGCAGAGAAAAAGCTCGAACAACTTGAACAGGGAGGGGGGCCTGTGTGCCATTACAACTGTATCTACTGGAGATGGTTGTTCGCTGACGTCATCAAGACTGGATCCCAGAAACATTTGCAAAAAGTTTGGACACCTCCGACAAAGGAGGTCTGTGCAATCGATTACATTTGCATTATACTCGGGATGGCTCACTGCTGACGTCATCAAAGACTGAAGCCCTGGAACATTTGCAAAAAGCTTGGACACCTCGGACAAAGGAGGTCTGTGCAATCGATTACAACTACATGTTCCCGGGATGGCTAACTGCTGACGTCATCAAGACTGAATTCCAAAAGGTTTGCAAAGATCTTGGACACCTTGGACAAAGGGAGCCTGTGCAATCGAATACAGAAATACATATGCATTATACTCGAGATGGTCAGTTGCTGACATCATCACCTGCGCGCTCTTTGTCGATGCGGAAGAAGCCGTTGTTCTCAAAAACCAAGTGCTCCCTGCAGAGGTATCTTACGGTTCCGCCCTCCTTCCTTCCGCAAAATCCAAACTCTGCGGTCGCTCCGCACTCGCGGCAGTGAAGGCTGTACGGGTCTGGGGGCGGCGGCAGGGACGAGTGCGAATGTTAGGATGCAGTCGAAATGCGTTGCTTCAGACAAGAGAAGACGAGACACGCTACGGATCTTAACACCGTTAGAGGGGAGCCTGTAACGG